CAAGTGTGACATCAGCTCTCAACGCAAGTCCCGTGTAATAGTCCAGCAACCGCCAAATCTGCAACATGACAAGTGCAACTTCAACTGCAGATGCTAAGAGGGAGCCGTTCAGGGAGGATCCAGCATTTCGGGGTAACTTCTGTGTGTGGTCGTGGGTGTCTGCTGGGCAGAAGCTGAAGGAGACCACTCGGGGTGGTCGTCGCCTGAAATGCAAGTTGTGGGGCCGTGAATTCAATGGGGGACAGCCGCGTGCAGTTGAGCACTTCATTTGGAAGAGGCCGACTTCACATTGCCCTCATGGGACACTGACTATCTGGAGGAGGCTGCATGTTGTTGGGGTGGTATTGCCTGCAGACTTGTTGGAATTGGTGCGGGCAGCGAAGGAGGAGGAAAACAACACCGGTGCTGGTGGCTCGGAGGGAGGAAATGTAGGGGCAGACGTTGGGGACAAAGGAGGGAGACAAGTGGGGAGGGGTGGAGAGTCGGGTCCGCGGTCTTGCAGTGGGGTGGAGGATGTTGGGGGGAGGGACGTCGATGTGCGAGATGCATGTCGGGGGGAAGCAGGCCCTTCTCGTGCTAATGCACTGCAAGCACGAGTGTGAAATCGCGGGCAGATGAAGCAGAGATCCATCGCGAGGTGGGTCAAAAACCCACGACAAAAGGACATTAATGAGAGCTGCATCGACTTCTTTGTGGAGAACGCAATCCCCTTCAATGTGGCGAAGAGCAAGTCCTTCAAGAAGTTCGTGAACACATGCTATGGACCACAACCTGCTGCCAAACATCCCCTGGTCCCCACTGGCTACAACCCTCTGCGGTGTTATCTTCTCGATGGCTTGAGGCAAAGGTTGAGCGAGGAGGAGCAGGCCATCAGCGATGATTGGGAGGTCACTGGCTGCACGTTCACCACTGACGGCACCACTGACATCTGTGGGCGGTCATTGGTGAATTACATCCTCGCAGGGCGTTCGAAGCCACTATTCGTCAAGTGTGAGGACGTCAACGATCAGGACAAGGACGTCGATGCAGTTGTTCGCGGATGGAAGAACTTTTTCAGGGAGATTGGGGTTGAGAAGATCACGGTCATCTGCACTGACTCCTTCTCAGAGAACAAAACTGCGGCCACGATGTTGAGGGCGGATCCAGAGTTCCAACAGATATACTGGATCCCGTGCACTACACATTGCATGGACTTGTTCATGCAGGATGTGGGCGACAAGCCGTGGGCTTAGGACGTCATCAAGAAGTCGAATATGGTCGTGAAGTTCTTCAGGAACCACAGGTGGCCACGATCAATATTGAGGACAGAGCTGATGGCACAAAAGGGTGTGGAGGTCAGAGTTCTTCTTCGTCCTACCCTTACGAGGTTCGGGATCCACTTCGTCAGGTTGGATCGGCTGTTGACATGCGAGAGAGCCCTTCGTCGCTTGGTGCTGGGGGACTCGTGGACGAACATGGATTGGCAGTTGTATATAAGGACGGACGCTTACGAGGTGGAGTCCCTCATCACTTACAGGTCATTCTGGGCAGATTTGAAGAAGCTGTATCGAGTGATGAAGGGGACCTACGAAGTGCTGTATATGGTCGACAAAGACATCCACTGCTTGTCCAGGGTGTACGACGCTGTCGTGGACCTGAAGAATTGTGTTCTTCATGCACCACTCACAGACGATGTGCGGGACAACATCTTGCGCAATGTGGGAAAGAGGACGGACATGCTTCTCAGCCCTGTTCATGTTGTGGCTCGCTTGTTGGACCCTCGATTGCGGGACATCACCGTCTTCAGCAATCTGGACTTGATGGCGCAATTTGATAGCGTGGTGGACCGTCTCGTTGCAAAGAATGGGAGTCAGAAGTTCACGGACTGCAAATACCATCTATACGACTTCCAATTCGGCAGAGGGATCTTTGGTGACGCAGCAGCGTTGAGGAGGGCAGGCAAGGACAATGCAGTGTTGTGGTGGGAGGCACACGGAGGTGGCTGGAGTTGAAGATGGTGGCCATGAAAGTGCTTTCAATATGGATCACATCCTCTCCTGCAGAGAGGAACTAGAGCACGTGGTCCCTCGTGCAGACGAAGACGAGGAACCAACTGAAGCACAAGCGTACAGAGAAGCTTGTCTACTCGCACTGGAACCTCAGACTAAAGAGCACGAGGGAAGATGGGCCGACAGTGAAAGGAGGTTGGTTGGGGCTGGAGCAGGACTGGGTGGACGAGGATCTCGAAGGCGAGGCAATTGGCAAGCTTAATGTGGAGGACAATGATGCAGTTAGGCATCGCGCCACTGGATCTAAAAGGGGCAGCACCAATATCGTCACTGCGCGTCGTGCAACTCAAAGTAGGACGCATGGACCGGAGGAGGAGGAGGAGGAGGATGAGGGAGATGAATTCCATCTCGAGGAGTGGTGCAGTGACAAGAACGACTCAAATAGATCGTGGACAAGGAGAGAGGGCATTCTACCGTACACACCAAGCCCGCGTTTCAGCCACCGGATTGCATCACGGAATGCTCGGGGCCAGCAAGAGGGCCAACAACACGAGGAACGACATGATGATGATGATGATGAGGAAGAGGAGGACCATTAGGAGCTACAGCAACAGCAGGAGCAGCAGCAGTGGGAGCGGCAGCAGCGAAAGCAGCAGCACGAGGAGTAGCACTAGGGGAAGCAGCAGGACGAGCAGCAAGAGGACCAACAGCACGAGCAGCAGTAACAGGGGGAGCATGAAGACGCCGAGCGGCAGCAATGGTACGAGGAGCAGCAACACTACGAGGAGCAGCAACACAAGGAGCAACAGCAGGGGGAGCAGCAGAACGAGCAGCGGCACGAGCAGCAGCAGCAGGGGGAGCATGAGGACGTCGAGCGGCAGCAGCGGGACGAGGAGCAACAACAACAGCAGAAGCGACAGCAGGACCATCAGGACCAGCAGCTCCCGCAGGAGCAGCAGCAGCAGCAGCAGCAGCAACCACGTGCATTCTACGGTCCGAGCAGACCCTCACAGTTGCTTGGTTGTCTGGGGGCCACCTCTGGTTCCACCCGGGATCCTCTCAGTTATTGACCTCCACGGGGCGGCAGAGGTGGACGAGAAGGTGCATCGACTGCGAGAGGGAGAGGAGACGTGGCTCCTAAAAGAGGCAAAGGGCGTCCTCGTTTAGGATCCTCAAAAGACAAAGGACGCCCACCTGCACAGGCAAAGAACCAGGCAGGGGAGGAGGCACTTTCCAAATGAGGCGAAGGACCTCCTGCTTCGGGATCCTCGAGAGGCAGGGACCGACCGCACTTTGCCCCCACACAGGCAGACGAAAGGGCTGAGGAGGGGCAGACAGAGGAGGAGGAGGAGGAGGAATCAAATGAGGAGCAGCCGCTTCGCAGATAAAAAAAACGGAGGATGACACCGACTGATGGGGAGGGACAAACACAGTGTGTGTGTGTGTGTGTGAGAGAGAGAGAGAGAGAGAGAGAGAGAGGTTTGCAAATAACCTTGTCAAATTTTGTTGTCGGACTCAGGTTGAGAAGAAAAGACGTGTTTGCGAATCTGAGTTTCGTGCATGTGTGTGTGACTTGTCATGGCTGCTGTACACCCTGTCTGCATGTTTGTCAGTCAGTCCGTCTGTTTGTCACTCAGTCACCCTGTCACGTCAGTATGTCTGTCATGTCTGCCTGTTGGTCAGTCTATCTGTCTGCCTGTCTGTCCGTTTGTTCGTTAGTCTATATGCCAGACTTGCAAACAGACTCGCGTGACAAGGTGATTGAGTGAAAGACAGACAGACAGGTAAACAAGCACACAAACACGGTCACAAGTCATATAGATAGTTTGTCTGTCTTCCACGGACGCCAACCTGTCTGTGTGACTTGTCACCGTGTCTGTGTGCCTGTTTGCTTGTCTGTCTGTCTGTCACTTTGTGCCACGTCAGTCTCTGTGCAAGTCTGTCAAGTTTGTCTGTCAGTCACTCTGCTGCTCTCTGGTTCGCCTGTGGCCACATCGTGATGTGTCGGCCTCACAAGGCATGTGGCCAGGGCACAACCACCCGGGCCCTGGGCTCAAATGCCCGGTGCAGTCGCTATCTGCTCTTTGCTTGACTACATGGACTCCAGTGTGATTTGCAATTTGGATTTCTATACTTCGCGCTCGGTTCGAATGTGTTATCTGCTCTCGGTTCCAATGTGGTATCTGCTCTTTGCTCGACTACTTGGACTCCAGCATGATTTGCAAATTGGATTTCTGTACTCGGCTCACATTCATGTTCTTTGCATAAGGGTGTGAGGATTGAGCCCTCAAGGGGCCTTGTCACCATGCACATGCACTGGGCTAGGGCCCCCAGCAAGCCTCGTGCCCGCCCTAAGTGAAGGCGGGCCTGCAAATTAACGAGAGGCCTTGCATTCAACATTTCACGAAGTGGGTGCCAGACAGTTGCTGCACGCCAGTTGGTTGGAGTGCACCGAAGTCCAGATCCCTGCAAACGCAGAAGGCCCAGGGATACCAAAGTTGGTTAGGCCCTGGGCATGTATACGTGAGGCCGACATTGCACGCTGGACGTGGAGGCCGAAAATGTTGGGCATGTATACGTGAGGCCGACATTTGGATTTCTGTGTTTCATCCACTTTCATGTTCCTTGCAAGGGTCTCTCCCGCCTTCACTTAGGGCGGGCACGAGGCTTGCTGGGGGCCACAGTCAGAAGACTCAGAAGTTCTGAGTCTTCTGACTGTGGCCCCCAACAAGCCTAGGAGCCAGAACATATGCACGTTGTCCAGGGGCCCCTGACAACACATTCCTCACATTTGTTCGACCTTGGAAGTTCCCAGTAGACTCAAGTAGTATACTAAGTCAAAAAAAAAAAAAAAAAAACAATAACGCGTATGCGTATGCTGGTTTTCAGACACGTACGCGTACGCGCGCATACATACGCGTACGCACCGCATACGCGTACGTGGTGCTACCCAGCTTTAAGGCTAGACTACGAGACGAGCTGTGCAGTCTAGCCGTACAAGCGCCAAGAAATGTCCCACAAAAAAATAAAAATAAAAAAATCCTAGGCTACCAGTCAGGCCGTCCGAGCCACCTTGTTCACGAGGGTGGTTTGATTGTGCAATGGCGAATGAGGGTTCAAAAAAAAACACGCAAAAATAAACTGAACAACTTTTGTCTCATGATTATTTTATTATTCTTTTAATTCTTTACCTAGGCCACCAGTCGGGCCGCCCGGGGCAGTAGGCCTACTGACTGACCCCTCCAAGCCTGCCCGGGTCGGTTGGCCTACTTCCTGGGCGATCCAAGCCTGCGATTTCCAATAGGCCTACTTACCCATCAAAGCCCTTTCCAGTACTACTGCACTGCTCCTCTGTTCCTCCTCCAGCCCTGCTCTGGCCCGCCTTCTTTGCACTTCCTCTGCACTTCCTCTCTCCTCCTCCAGCCCTCCTCTGGCCCACCTTCTTTGCACTTCCTCTGCTCCTCGTCCAGCCCTCCTCTGGCCCGCCTTCTCTGCACACCAATCCCAATCTGAAAAATTAATTCTCACCCCCCCAAAATCTACATAACCACACCTCGCCCCCTCCATCCAATGCACGATGAAATGTAGAATTTGTTCCGATCAGTTTCATATCTGATTTGTGATCCATTGGGGCTCTTTTGAAAAAATAGAAAAACGTGCATGCGTATGCTCGCTCGCTCGAGAGAGAGAGAGGGGGTGAGCTGCAAATCCAACCCCAAACGATTTCCCCACCTCTTCTGATGCTTTTTTTTCTCCTTCATTGTTTTGCGAGCGAAGCTGGGCAGGTACCCTTGTTAATTTTTAAATTTGTTTTGTTAGTAAACTAATTTTATGCTATTTGGAAATATTGAACAGGATCTACGATGCCGAAAGTCAAATTTCGGAGTTGTGGAAAGATGATGGATACTCTGGCCAAAACATGTGCGGCTCGGAAAGAAGAAAGGCAGATGAGGAAGCAATCTCGACCCTTATCTGATATTGACATCCTCAAATTGTGTGAGGAGGCTGCTAAGGCATCTTCAACGGAAATACCTTCGGCATCAAAAGTATCAAGCTCAGAAAAACGTAGCAAATAAGGTATGTAAGGCATCAAATTGTGCATATTCGTTTTCCTGTATTGTTCGTTTTGTTTTAATATTGGGCAACTTGGGTTTCAGAACCAATTGAGGATTGTTGTTTTGCAAAAGTTGTTTGCATTGCAAATTCACAGGAAATTTACTTTTTTGGTATTTGTTTTCGTTGTTTTTTGAAGTTGTTAAATCACTCATAGCTTCTAAGAGGCAATATCACTACACTTATAAAAATCTATAATCTGAGAATTTTGGCATTTGGGTCGTTCGTGGACCTACCGGCCTGACAGTCGGGATTACCCCGTGATCTTAAGATTTTAAGATGGCACCGCGATTCAGGCCGGTCCTACCGGCCTAATGACCAAGATTCCCCACCGATCTTAGAACTTTAAGATCGAGGGGCAATCAAGATTTTAAGATCGCACTGCGATTCAGGCTGGTCCTACCGGCCTAGTGGCCCAGATTTCCCCCCGATCTTAGAACTTTAGATCGGGGGGCAATCGGGGCCGGCAAATGGTGCATAGTGAACGAGGCAACACAGACAGACGTGGTGTATAGCGATGACACGCACTCACACGGACGCCCACCTACCTGGGCAAACACACACACGAAAACACGCACATCCATGCACACATGCAGCCACACAAATGCATCATGGGCAGACTGTTGGGGTTCAACCTCCTGATGAGTTGGTGAAAGTCCAGCGAAGCAGACTGACACAATCATGTTTTTTGTGGAGTTTTTGTGCACCCACGGGCGCACAAGAGAAAGAGAGAGGGAGAGAGAGAGAGAGAGAGAGACCAGCGTAACTGCCTAACTACTTAGGTGGCCCCTCCCCCCGGTCCAACCGTTTTCTGAAAAAAGAAAAAGAAAGCACACACGTCCATGCGCGAGCGAGAGAAAGAGAGAGACCCCAACGTAACCACCTAACTATCTACGTGCCCCTCTATTTGTTCTCCCCTCCTTCTCAGCACCTCCTCCCCCCCCTACTCCCCCCTCCACCCTACACCCTACGACACACCTGCCCACGCCGCCCTCCACCCGGGCTCCCCCCACCCCTCAACGGTGCTGCTCTTCCGCTGCCCTCCTCCCTGCGCTGCTCTCCCGCTGCCCTCCTCCCTGTGCCCCTCCACTCCCGTCACCCACCGCCCTTCACACTTCTGCTCTGTCCCTCTAGCCCTGCGCCCTTCCACCCTACCCCTGCGCCACCCGCCCCTGCGCCCCTCCGCACCTGTGCCCGCCACCCACTGTGCCCTCTGCACTCCGCCCCTCCTCCCTGCGTCGTGCTCTATCGAGACAGTTTAAAAGAAAGAAAAACAAAAGAAAACTCGTGCATGCAGGATACAACAGAGAGAGAGAGAGAGAGAGAGAGAGAGAGAGAGAGAGAGACCCCAATCTAACTACCTACGCCCCCCTCCCCCTCCCTCGTCAATAAGTGCAGTCTAGCATTTGCTCCTACAAGTTTTGTATCTGATCCATGGTCGATCGAGACTTTTGTTTGACTTTTCCAAAATAAAAAAATCACGCGCGTGCGTGTGTGTATGTGCGTCCTCCAGCGTCCACGTGCGCGATCAGGCAGACCAGCAAGCAACAACGCAACAACATGTCCGCAATGCCAGCCAAGGCCTGAATGGGCCAAATGGCTCAACTCCTTTCCTTTATGGAAAGGGAGCGCGGCTTCTGAGCCTCTGGCCTAGCTGGACACAGTCCCCAGTAGCTTTCACTCACGCCCAAGTATCTGTGTCCAGGCTCTGAGGGCCTGGGCCCTTTACAGTTGGGCATAACCTGCCCACTTTGTGACGTCAATGCTGCTTTTGCGTTGGCTCGCGGCAGTTGTGTATTGTGTCGTCCTCTGAGGCACACGGCCCAGGGCTTAACTGCACCAGCCCTGGGCTCACTTGCCCGTGGGCTGCAGCTGGGTGCAAAGGCCTAAGGCTAGACTTTCTGAGTAACCGCCTGACGCGAAGTAACTGTCTGGCGCACAAATGCAAAATTGACAAATTGAGGCCTTCTGCATTTTTCCAGGCCCGCTGTCGAGCGCATCGGTCCGGCACCACAAGTGGCAGCACGGGACCCTCTCCGCCGCTTCACGCAGGAGTTGGACCAACCTCGTTACGAACATACAAAGGAGCTTCCTTAGGCCGCTCCGGCCGAATGCACCAACCATACCTCTCGCG